TATTGGTTATTACACCAATGTGGTTGGTCTGCGCGCGGACCCCGGGTTGGGAACCACACGCAGATACAAAAAATGTTCAGATATCGGGTAACCGTCACAGAACAGCAAGCGGCTACCTGCTAAATTAGGCCGTCACTAACCGCAAGCGACCTAATTCAACTGCACTACTGTGCTATTCTGAATAAAATTAGTCACGATACAGCAAGCTAATGTACTCAGAATCGCGTCGTAGGAACTAAAGTGGAGAAGACAGTAAGTGTTTTCCCTTTACTTCTCTCATTTGCGTAATGTACATGAAATGACTTAACCTAAGGCGCATGTGATACAACATCGTGTTTTAAAATACAGGTGGCGCCATCTAGTTTTGTACGTAGAACAACTGTTTGCAGTAAATGTTTGTTACAGTAGTATATAATATGCCCGTCTATGTCAGCTACACATCAGTGAAAATCCGGTCGAAATCGGCCCAGAAGTCTCGGAGATTACCCGGAACAAACGTGGAAAGACAGACAGACAAAACATTTTTAAATGCGAATTTCGATATGAGCAACGCAAATACATCATCATCCTGAAATCTGGAATTTTACAAACAGACACTAATTTTGTTACATTTATAGAAGACAATGCTTTTTTTTGATACGAGTGGAAAGCTTAGCTATTATATTATAATTCATAATTTACCTATCTAGACGTGATAAACAGTAATTTATATACAAAACAGAAGGCAAGATGGTGCATTGTTTGTATTATTCAGAATGCAGGCACGCCTGGTTCAATAAATAAGAGGATTTAGCCGGTTCATGCTCCAGGGTTACAGTTTGTCAGAATTTACTATGCAAATGGTTTTCTGCAGACGCTACTGTTTACGGTCTCAAGGAGTAACAGTCTTTGAACCATATCCAATGGAATGCATAGACAAAAATGTTTTGTACTAGTTTTCCCCCGTTTTCGTCTGCGCAGACTTTTCAATAAAGGTGCAAAATACCTATTGTGTTCTAAGATATTAAATTATATAAGTGACATAAGATCTGTTGAACCTTTACTGTTAATTTATATGTGTCTAGCTTTCGCCTGCGACTCTGTATGCGTGGAACTAAAAAAACAAAAGTGAGTATGTACTTCCTGACAGTCCTCTACATCTATACTAAATTTCATCGAAATCTGTTCATCCGTTTAGGCTACAAACTCTAAGAAACATCAATTCATATAAACTATCACATTTGTAATATTAGTAAGATATTTTTGATTTGGAATAAAAATAAATAAAAAAAATTGCTGGCAACTTTGTTTCGTAGATAACTAAATCTATTGAAAAAAAAAAAACGAAATCTTTGATATCAGCATGTTTGAAAATCGATTGTAAAAACACTTTATTCAGGCAGTTTTATTCTTATTTTGATATACGAAAGTTATAGATATAAATGCACCGCGCTTCAACGCGGCCCCGGTGTAAGATCTTTGGCTCCCTGTAAATACTACGAGATGAGAATCTTTGCTGAGAACAAATTGCTTTGTAAATTGAATTGGCTTCGTATAAACTAAAATAAGACGTTGAAGTCAAATTGATATTGCCTTAGGTACGCCAAGTATCATGCGCTCAGTGAAAACTGCAGCGTATTTTACTAAATAAATTCATTTGAAAATTGTAAGTTTGGTTTCCATAGTTAGAAAAATACATTAACTACACTTCTTTATTCTATAGTTATGAAGTACTAAATAAATAAAATATAAATCCATTTACACTAACAGTTAGTTAATTTAGACACACACCTGAACACTTAGCCCAGATATTCTACTGGGAACGTGCTTAAGTTGAAATATCTAACTCTCAAAGCGTCAGAACAAAAATAGAAGTTTAAAATTACTTGCATTTAATATACAGCTATAAAATAATTATTTCATAGAAATAAAAACAATAAAATAACTCACACCCCTTACCCAGTCATGTAGGCAGAAACAGACTTTAAAGAAATGCTGTTTGCTTTAAAGAAATGAATTAATGTTTTTTTAAATTTCAGATTCTATTACTACAAATCTAGAGGTATTTTAATCTGCCAATTTTTTTGATAAGTTAGGGGCCTATAACTCCCGCAGGGTCGGCGTTATTCTATCATCCTTCATCTGTCATCACTCTCTTCTTCATCATGTCTACCACTACCGATGTACCTCCACACTCATAACTAACGTACCAATATTTTGTATCATCATCATCATCAAACTGATCATCATCATCAAACGCATCTGCAATTGCTGATGTCTATGGGCAGCGATCGCTTCGCTATTTTGGTGGATTCAGGTGGCCGCTTGCTCGTTTGCCATTTTATGTTATAAAAAAAAATCTCAGTCATCACTCCCTTTTTGATCATGTCACCTTTTACGCAATCTATCCATCACTTTCTAGGTCGACCTCTACCGGTGTACCCTTCCACAGTCATTACTAACGTTCTCCTTGTAACATGCGATTCATCCCTCCTCATAACATGCCCATACCATGCCAACTTAATATATCGTTATAATATTAAAGTATAATAGTGAAATATTTTTTTAACTTTTTTAATTCAAACAGTATGTTTCAAACACGAACTCATCTATCAGGAAGTAGTATTACATGTTTATAATGCGACGTAAAAGATATGGTTTTTAAATCTTGTTTTAGGCTTTGTGTTAATGCAAATATTACTTCCTTTTACATCTATTCACTACAAGAATATTCCTTTCCATTTATAAATATCAGTGGAATATTTCTATTTGAGTTTGTTTCTTTTGCTTAGGGGTAAAAGATGGCATGGTTCACGAGGGTTTAGGTTAAGCGCCTTCTGCGCTCGCTCAACACTCAAGTTACGTAGATCAGAAACTCATTTTATGAATTTATCTAAACATAAACTAACGATTGGTTAAACGTAGCTGGGAAACCGGTCATTAATGCTTTCGCAGTTACGTTTTTATTCAAATCTAAACAAAATATTACGTATCACTAACCTCTACATTCCATTGGTTTGGCTATAAGCCGTGGTATTTTGTGCCTATTTGAATTTCGCCATTTTGTCGTTGATAGCAGTTATTAACGGTGCTTAAAAGGCGAATTATTAAATATGTTACTATTGCTAGATATTTCCATAAATGACTTCCTTTAAAATATAGACGGACGGCCATATTAACAATACTTGTAAATTACTTTAAAACACACAAACTAAACTCCAATGCGACAACGCAAATATATCGAACGTTCCGTTATGACGACTAGTAAAACACTGAGCTTCTTGGCGACTGAGCGCAGAGATTACAACTGAGCGCCCGAGCCACTCCTTGCGATATATGTTATAAAACTACCCCCCACTATTCTTTCCGTTTCCTAATATTTTCCTAACAATATTGTTGTTTTGAATAAAGATAAAGTTATTGATAAATATCACAGATTAACAAATAACTTTTAAGAATACAAAATACATCAAAAATAGTTAAAAAGCTAACACCTTGCTCTCCACTATTACCGTTCTCATGTTCCAGATAACAAAAGTAAAAATTGGTAATTGTACAATGTACACAACTGCGAAATATATGTACACATACCAACCATGAAAAGATTACTTTAACTCAAATGTACAACACCTCATTTATGTTCTATAATACCTGAGCAGCAAGCTCCAACATCATTCTCTGACACATTTGTTGTTCAATAACACAAATAGACAGTAATAATTAACAAGCAAAATATACACTTGTAATCCCAATATTGTTTGTTAATATAAGGATATTAAAGTAAATCTCTTATACAACTTGTGAGATTCATGCATCATAAATAATTAGTCAAAAATTAAAGTGGTCTACTTTTTTCTCATTATGAACACTATCGATGAACCTCACTGTTCTTTAACCACTCGCTTAAAACAATTGAAATTAAACAATTAAATTTATTGATAAATAGCTCAGATTAACAAATAACTTTTAAGAATATAGAAAAAATCAAAGATAGTTAAAAAGCTATGATAATTATGTATATTATAAATTACAATAAACTAGCTGTTCCCGTGCGGCTTCATCTGCATGGAATTGTAAAAAACTTTATTTTACTGTTTTCATTTGTCAAATTCTCAATTGCAAATGTCAAAATTACTGTTACCATAATAACCTTACTTCCGTTGGCAGCTTGTAGTTTATGGTCCATATCTTAGATGAGGTTTTTTTATTTTTTATTTACCCCCTAAAATTAAATAACCTGAAAATTTATAGCCTAAAGCGTGTCGTAAGTGTAGGACTTTTTATTAAGATGGAATGATTAAAAAAATCCTGTGATTGCAGACTATAGACCACGAAGTGAAGATATAGATATGTCATGAAATATTATCAATAATTAAATTGTATTAAGACGTAAGATTTAATCTTAGTAATCATTCTATGGTCGTCACAGCCATGTTATGCTTTAATAAAATATAGTCTTCATTACCTCTTATGTTTTCTTCCCATTTTCACAGAATACCTTACCAATATGGCCGTCGTGTCGTCGAGCTAATGCAACACCCTTATTCTGACATCCGACTACTATCCAATTATTAACATAACAAGCACAATTACGACATTTTAAAACCATGTCATAAATATTTTAAATAATATTTTGGATCACAATTACAAAGCTTGTATCGCTATTTCAATTTATGACAAATGGTACTGATTTATAGCACAGACTAACAACCTTTAAGAATACAGAATACGTCAAAGTAGTCAAAAAGCTAACAATTCCGATTATCATAATTGGTGTATTTTACATAATTTTATGTGAGACTACCCTTAATTAGAACAAAGAAATTAATTTATAAAAAAACCAATCACAAGAACAAAGGAACGTGAGTAATTTGCCGAAATATGAAAATATGGTTAACCTTGAAGAAGCAGCCTAAATATGTTGGAAATACGGGTTATTTTTTTTGTTAAGATGCTATATATTAAAATGACTAAGAGGATGAGTTCGATTTACATTATACAATCGTCAGTGAGCATGCAGACGTGATAAAATCGTTAACATTTATTGAAAAATCGACGTTGAAAATAATCTCAAGGAGTAATTTGAATAAAGAATTCTCAAAAATGATTGAAAGCTTGGAAAAGGTACGTTTTTAAACTTTATTTATTATTAACGTTGTTATTATGATTAAATTTTGTTTGCAAAAAAAATAATGAATATTTTTAAATTGCAATTTAATTACTTTTAAAGTAATTTGTAGAATAAAACAAAAGAAATTTGAATGTAGAATTATACGCTAACGTAAGTTAAAATAGTAAAGTAACCTCTGGTTGTTAATCTTTTTTCCTCATTTATAGATTAATATAACGCTTATTAAAATAATTAAAAGATACAAAATTTAATTATTTAAGTGAACATTGAAATATGAATCAATTGAACATTAAAATAAAATAATTGTAAGAAGTATGAAGATATGGTTATGTAATATTTGTTCGTTAAATAATTTCAGGAAAGGAACGCAAAATTGTCACAAGATGCATTGAAATTATTGAATGTAACAGAGAACGATAGACTTGATGTTTTAAAACGCTACAATGTGTCGCCAAAAGGTTTACAAGATATAATTTATTCGATTCAAGAATGGTACGAGAAACAGCCACATCTACCAAAAGGGAAATTGGGTAATCATTTTAAATATTTTGTATTAAAACAAGCTCCAGTTAAATTGGTTTAAAACGATAAAAAAAAGTTTACTTATGCAATATATCAACAAAGTGATGCGCCTGGTCCCTAATCTAATAGAATTACTCTGTTTTAATACTAAGGTATAAATCTGACTAATATTATAAATGTGAAAGCTTACTTAGATGGGATCGATGGATGTTTGTTAGAGTTTGTAGCCTAAACTACTTGACGGATTTCGATGAAATTCGGCGTCAATGTAGAGGATAATCTGGTAGATCTTATAGGCTACTTACTTTTGTTTTATTAATTCCACGCGGATGAAAATTACAAAAAGAACTAGAAAAAATACAATTTAAAAGTTGTGTGCATATCAATGCTTATGTACAAGAAAGTGTATATGATTGTATTTGTAAGGAAGCGCCTTTAAATCCACAATCTTAGGGTATAAAGGGTTGCACGTACTCGAAGTAATGTCCATTTTTTTCTATAGTTTTGCAGTATCTGTACAGTTTTAAAGAGTTACTTAGATACAACAATAAAAAAACTTTTTTAATCATTCAAATATTTTCCTTAATTCTTAAGTCCAGCTTCTAGAATATACTGGTAAAAGTGAACGGGAAATCAAAGAAAATTCTATTTCAGTATCGTTATTTCTTACTTTACTGACTGTTTTCTTTAGTCCGAGATATAAGAAAATCAAAGTGTTTCTTACATTATTAGATATAAATATTTTTATAGACGCACCTGTTGGATAAAATTGGTCATATGAACTATTTAATTCTTGTCCGTAACCTATCCGGTTTCTATTGTAATGACCCAAACTTGAATAACCACTTTTATAAATGAGGTTGAGCTATCGGCAGAAGCATAAGCCCAGAAGAGGTATTTTTAAAATATAACTGTATGATAAATAGTCGTTTTGAATGAAGATTTAATAGTGGCAAGTTCACATGTTTCATTACATACATCACTAGTTCATTATACGTCTTCACTGAGGGCCTCGGAGCCCTACTCTTAGTTAGAGTGACTAGGTAACCCAACCACACTGGCCAGTGCGTGTTGGTTGACTTCACACATATCTTTGAATTTCTTCGCCAATAATTTGCATTTTGCATGACAATGTTTTCCTTCACAGTAAAAACGTCGGGTAAATTATGTACGTATGAAATTCAAAAAATCGAAAATCACATTCCTACATGGCGGGATTCGAACCCAAGACCTGTAGATTATAAGTCAAGTGCTTAAACTCTGAGCCACCAATGCTCTCCCATGTTTTAATATGCTCGAATAAATGCAAAAAGAAACCGCCAGGTTCCATCCACACCATATCTTTAGCTGGTAATCTACAACCGTATGGCTTTCGCGAAACTTACCGTCTCGCATAACCGCGTTGTGGATTCATCTGTCTTCGGCGGTATTTCCTCAGTACAACTTAGGGTCCTTTACCATTTAAAGGCCTGCAACGGATCTGTAATTCCTCTGATGTTGGATGTCCATGGGCGTCGTTAATCACCTTGGTGTTTCCGCCGCACGTTTGGCCCCTTTTATTAGAAAAACATCGTGGAAGATAGGAATTGGAGATTTGTTTGATTTTCTCGCTAAGCTCGTTAACTCTTTATGTTTCAGATAGTCATATGATATTTCAACATTTGATGCTAAAAGGTTTTAGTATTGAAGAAGTTAAAGACAAAATAGATAATTGTGTATCTGGAAAACGGAAAATGCCAGAACTACTACTGAATAGAGATCCTTTAGATCCAATTATGAATGAATGTTTGAAATTTGGATATTTTGTTATACTACCAAAGAAGACACCTCGGAGCCATCGTGTTACTATCTTCAGGTATTTATCTATACATTTACTAATTGACCTACGAGATAGGCAAAGCCTTTTCAGCTATTTATTTTATTGTTAGAGTGGGCACACTATAACAGTTGTGCGATTGTCGATCGTCGATTGTTTCGCAGCCAATTCAACTGTTTAGTTGCACAACTAAAAATCTCGAAGCGCACCTCGATATAAGCTCATAGGAATCAAAGCAAGACTAAACAGCCGTGCGATAGTTAGTCATAGGTGTGCGCGAGCTCTAAATGTGAATAGACAATGGTCATTTAAATTTTTTAGTTATGTTCACTAATAAGAAAAGGTTGCAACTGTCAATAATTATTTAGAATTCACCTAAAAGTTAACTATTCTTGTAAATATAAGAAAAACTGTAGCTCACGACAACAAAGCCTCATTTAAATATTCATATTAATTATTAGGTTTTATTTTACGTGGGAGGTTATATAACAAAAACTTACACAAACAGGATTTTATCAGATATTAGAATAAAGAAAATCCAATTTTAGCGCAACTAATATCTTTATTATTTAATATTGCAGTATAATGCTATAAATAAAAATACATTGCTAAATAATTTGACATTAAATGTAAAACAAAAGGAGTTTTCTTGAAATTCGTATTGGTTCGTGATATAGTGCAATTCAAACGTTACGATTGCTCGTAATTTAGAAATTCTCTTGCAGTCTTGCAGTCTTTTCTTCCTTACCCAATAGACTTTCGAAAGAACATTTTACGTTCCTTAAATCTATGTTCAATTTACTACCCGTTTCAACTTATGATATTTAAAAATAAAAATATCGGCGCGAGTTAGACGCAATGGCAGCGCGCAAATGTAAAGATGAATTGCATAACATGAAGTGGTTAAACGATAGTTTACCATAACATATTGCTTAGCTAACCCCAAACCGCTATGAAGTTGGAATCTTATAATTATGTTTTTTTTATTGTCTATTTCTAAGAGCGTCGGTGTCGTCAGTGGTTTAAGCACTTGACTTGTAATCTACAAGTCTTGGGTTCGAATCCCGCTGTACCAATGTGATTTTCGATTTATCATGTTTACCTGACATTCTTACGGTGGAGGAAAGAGAACATCGTGATGCAACCTACACATATCGACGAAGAAATTCAAAGATATGTGTGAAGTCAACCAACCCGCATTAGGCCAGCGTGGTTGACTATGACCTAGTCACCGTAATTTACGGTAGGCTCCGAGCCCCTCAGTGGGTGCGTGGGACGTACAGTGAGCTGGTGATGATGTGATGATTGTCTATTTCAGAATAAAGCAGCCGATTGATCTCGTTGCATCGGACGTTGCTAAAATGGCTTTAATGTTACTATCCTATCGGATGTATACTGATTCTTCACTCGGAGAGCAATGGATATTTGATCTCACCAATGTATCTTTTCATAATTCTGTACAAATGACTCCAGCTCTCCTTACAAAACTAGTATATTTCATACGGGTGAGTACCATTTCTTTTATTCTAAATTTTAAAAAAAGTTCCTAATCTAGGTTGATAGTTGGTTTCAAATCTATTATTTTAAAAACAATTCATGTAAGATTAACTATTACAATTACAAATTGAGTTTTACTAAGATGCCTGTTATTTCACAATTATTTTAAGTTGTTATTTCATCATCAATTTGCCCTTATCCCTTACGGAGGGTCGGCACAGTGCTGCTCTTCCATACATCTCTATCAGCCGTCATATCTGAATCCACTTCTTTCTTAAGCATATCCTCTTTCACACAATTCATCCGTACTTTCTTCGGTCTTCCTCTTCCTTTGTAGCCATCCATATTCAATCTTAATACTTATTAATAAGTAGTAATTGTTGTTTTCAGTTCTGTTACGGCGCAAAGATAAAAGGAATACATTTTGTTAACATGCCATCATTTATAATACCCATTATAAATGTATTGAAGAAAATATTAAAACCAAAAGTCGCTAAGAGAATTTATGTGTACAGTGACTTTAACGAACTTGGTGGTTTATTCTCTAAAAGCATTTTGCCAAAAGAATACGGAGGTGATGAAATAACTTGCGATGAAATTACAGGTACGTAAGTATACATAGAAAATAATTTAGTAACCACCGTCTGTAAAAATTAAGGTTAAAAAAACAGGTATCAGGTATACAACACTACACAAAAAAATTGACAAAAAATGATTTTGAAATTTGACACTTGCATGGGTCAAACAAATTACTCGCTGCGAAGAAAGAATCTGGATTTACAAATTTAACATATACGGACGCTTTACACTCACTGAGGTAGTTACCAAGAGGCTTCCGGTGAGTTCCACGGAGATTCCGGAACCCTCTTCTATTGCACTAGAGGCAGGTTACCCCCCTCTGTGGCTTTTAGTGGGTACAAACTTCACATAACCGTGTCTTGCCCCCAGAATAAATGGTATCTTTTTGAAGATTTCCCCCGAAACCAAAAAAGTACCAAGAGACGTTTGAGATTTTGAAAATTAGTGAATACATTAAAAAAACAACAACCCAAGCAATTTGTATACACATTAGACCTTTCAGTAAAGTTGTAAAATGAGCACTGTCTGTCCATACTTCTTCATTCCGGAAAACTAGTACTTGTGCTGAGTAGTCTTCTATACTAATATTATAAAGAGGAATGAATTGTATTTTTGGATTCTTGTATGTATTGAAATAACTCAAAAACCTCTTGGACGATATAAAAAATTCTTGCACCATTAAAAGCTATGTTATCACTGAGTAACATGGGGTATATGATATTTTTTTAACTTCACGAACACAAAGTCGCGACAGCTAAAATTAATAAATTGAAGTTTCTTAAAAATTGAGCCAGCAGTTATGAACATTACCAATGGAAACTGAAAAACGATGTTTTACTCGTTTATTTACAAATCCCTTGGTCTAGTGTTACTTATGCTTTTTATTACATTTTAGAGAATTGGAGAAAATCGGTGCAATCAGACGCTTGGGTGGAATATTTCGCAGAACAGGACAAAGTAATGAGCGATGAAGCACTCAGGACAAGACATTTGAATTCCGATGATTTCTTCGGCCTTGAAGGATCTTTTAGAAAACTCGAAGTTGACTAAACCTAAGCATAATAATTGACAATTACAAATGTAATGAATTTAATATAAGTTTCTCTGTTAATACATGTTTAAAATCACTTTTACATGGACCATAAAAGATAATTTTAATCTGTACAAACTAGCTACTGTAATTGTTATCTGTAAATAATATGAATTAAATCTAGTAAACAATTAAGACCTTTTGACTATCTACTTAGAACGAAACACCTGAAACTAAACTATCGCAGAACTGTTTAGTCTTGCTTTGTTTCCTTTGAGCGTATATGGTGCGGACATTTCACTCGATTTTTAGTCGTAAAACATAACAGTTGATCTGCGAAACAATCGCCAATCGCACGACTGTTGTGAGATAGTTTACTCAAAGGTGTGCGTCCGCTCTTGGTGCTAGTAATTTGACGAACCCTGCTACATACAAAAGACTTTAAATTAACTGTAATTATTTCCATCCTATAGGATTTTCATAATGTCCATAACATACTACCATTCTTAAGTAATAATATTTATGACACCTAGTCATTCCCGTGCGGCTTCATCCGCATGAAATTATGAAAATTTTATTTTATTGTTTACATTTGTTAAAATATCAATAGCAAATGTCAAAATGACAAGAAAATACAAACCTTGGCAATCTTGCTTCCTTGATGATGGCAGCAACTTATGGTCTCTTTCCCACATTACGGTTTTTATAAAAATATATACCTCCTAAGTTTAATGGCGTTAAAATATATAGCTTAAAGCGTGACGTATGTGTTTTGCCTTTCATTAAAGAAAGAATTATTCAAAAATATGCTGTAATTGCTGACATCTTAGGCAACAAAGAAGTGTGTGTTTACGCTTTATTATAATAGTATAGATATCTTAGTAGTATTACTAAGTAATATTCAATCACTAGCAGTGTTAAATTTAAGTAGACGAATTTAATACCACATTTGACACTTCGAAATTAAGGGCCTGTCCCACCAAATAGTAAAATGTCTGATAACAATCCAACATATATACCTAATATGTAATGGAAATATCGAATTTTGTTCCCTTATCTGACGTCATTTTTAAGCTATATGAGCCTCTCAGCAAGTGGTGGGACAGGCCCTTAACATTGTAACCTTGTGACGGTTTTTTTTTAGTTACAATTAAGTACATTGTTGCGTAAATTTTGTTAAATCACGATTTATTATTGCGAAAGTGACCTTCGGTCGTAGTTTAAATGTTGGACCAGTGAACCCTTTTTTTTAATCCCTATGTTGCTAATTAAAATGTATTCGTATAATAAGTATTTTATTAAAAGTACGTGATCAATCTTACTGATTGTAAATGCTAGGCGGTTGAAGGGCCCGATTAAAAAGCAGTTATTTTCACTAATAGTGAGGAAGGTCCTGTCTCTGTCCTGACCACTGGTTACTTTAGACATCGGATTCCTCAGCCGACTGTGTTCTATTTTTTTTAATATGTTTTATTATTTTGTAAATCATGTAAAATGTTAAATAAAGGTATATGAATTATAATTGCGAAGATTTAGATGGATAGTTTGATTTAAAGTTTGTAAATTAAACGGCTGAAAGGATCTCGATGAAATTTGGCATAGATGTAGAGGATAGTCTGGAAGAAAACATAAGCTACTTTTTATCCAGAAAATATGAATGTAGGATACGTTACTCTTATTTTTATTTTTATTCGATAACTCTGGAACAGTTCAACATTTCTTATTGAAAATTGGGTTCAGATATAAAACAAAGTCTAGAGTAACACATGTGATACGATTCATCTTTGAAATGTATCAGGTTTCAGGGATAATTTTTCCCTACGTTTTTTAATACTATGTGGTCGAAGTTGCGGGAAACACCTAGTATCTCGAAGACTTTAATCGATGTTTTTAAACAGGTCACCTTGGCAATGAAACTGAAGCAGATGTCAAAATGTAATCTATAAAATTCACTCAACTATAAATAATTATACTGATTTTAAGACAAACAGTACCTTATCAAATACTAAAACATTTTTGCAACCACGTATCGTGCAACTGAACATTCAACAAATTGTAAATATCATATAAAGACATAATAAAACTCGATTTGGACGTCAGTTTCGTTTATTATCGCACACGGGACGTTGCAAGTTATCTTTTTAGATTTCTTTCTAAATATTACTTGATAAGTTAAACATTCAAATTAAATTCGTGATTATATAAAAATGGTAAGTTTTTTTTATCTTACTAATATTATAAATGTGAAAGTTTATATGGATGGATGTTTGTTAGAGTTTGTAGCCTAAACGGCTGAACGGATTTCTATAAAATTTGGTTTAGATATAGACGATAGTTTGGAATATAAGATAGGGTGCTTTTGTTTTTTTTTTAATTCCACGCGGACGGAGTCGCGAGCGAAAGCTAGTTTTATATATGTACTAAATGATCTTGTAATAATCTGATTTAAAATTAATTCAATTTCTAACACATTCTTTTCTATTTTAATAGGGATGAAAAAGAAAAGGACCAATTAGATCTACTAAGTTTTTAAATATTTTACTGTTTTCATAATTTTTAGCGGCGTGAAATATAAAATTTAGCTTTATTTGATATATCCTTGTTTTCCTATTGTGTACAAAAATATTTAATATAAAAGAACTTTAAGAAAATAAAGCCGGTTACATCGTTTTATTATAAGCAGGATAATTTAATAGTTGTGTGTTCAAAATAAACAAGTATGACCGCCAACCTCGCCTACATTGACGTCACACCTTGCAACAAACTTTTTGCCATTTTGCAACTTAAAGGAACCGATAGACATCTAGAAATTTCGAAAGAAGAGACCAAACAAAACAATAGCTTTTAATATAAAAAAATCGTATGATATACTTACCTATATTTACCTTATGATATCTTGCAAAATATTCTATACTAGCTTTCGCCCGCGACTCCGTTTACGTGGAATAAAAAAAACAAATGCAAGCCTATACATTTTTACAGACTATCCACTACATCTACGCCAAATTTTATCCAGTTTTTCACCTTTATAATATTAGTAAGATATACCCAAAATGATATCTGATGCTACTGTTTATCTCTTTAAGGTTTGATTACTTTGACAATTCAATAAGGACAAGTTTATTAAATATGGGTATGATTTTAGATTTTTACTCTCATAGAAGTTGCAATCCTGATGGATCCGAGCCCAGGTCCCATCATTGTCCCTCAAGTAGGAAGATAAACCGGTATCCACTGTCCTCACAGTCCAACTAGGTGTAACAGGGGTGGCCGCGGAATAGATTTTAAAACAAATGAACAACGCTAGAATTGACACATTTGTCTGTTGTTTTGTCAAAATAAATAAAACGGAATATGCCAATGGAAGAGATAAGGCAACAGAGAACTACAGTAATTTTTTTTGAACTTGTAGAATAGGAATTCGGAGTTGTTACGTGACGCCGAGAAGCTGCTATGCGTGAAGTCAAACGATGTGGATGTCATTCTTAAGGAGCATAAAGTGTCACAGAAACAATTGCAAGATATTATTGATTTAATTCAAGATTGGTATGACAAACAACCTCATCTACCCAAAAATGGATTAGGTAATTGTACTTCAGAATTTATGGTTATTATATAAATACTAGCTGTTATTGTGCGGCTTCATCTGCACGAAATTATAAAAACATTCAATTCACTCATTCATTCATTCATTGTCAAAATGACATGACATGACAAATCTTAGCAATCTTGCTTTCTTGATGTTGGCAGCAACTTATGGTCTCTTTCCCACATTAGGGTTTTATCCAAAATATTTACCCCTAAGTTTAATGGCGTGAAAATATGTAGCTTAAAGCGTGACTCAAGTGTAGTGCTTTTTATTAAAAAAAGATTTATTCAAAAATATGCTGTTATTGCTGAAATCTTAGGCAACAAAGAAGTGTGTTTACGCTTTATTATAATAGTATAGATGAATGCTTTGTAAATGTCAAAAAATCAACCGATCATGACAGGCTACTTTATAGACCAAGGTTATTGAAAATGATTTTTAACTATGTGCTTAAATCTTAAACAAGTTTCATTACGTTTCATTTAATTGCAATAATTATATTATTTAAAAATGTTTTACGTTGCTCATTTTTCTTACAGAAGACAGAATAATAGTTCAGCTTTTAATATCAAGTAAATTTCGCATCGAAAAAGTAAAAGATAAAATTGATGCTGCGATATCAGCTAAACATAAAATGCCAGAATTTTTATTAAATAGAGATCCTTTATCACCAAATATAAGTGAATATTTGATAGATGGGTTTTTCGCGATATTACCAAAACTGTCTCAAGACAATCATCGTGTTTCTATATTCAGGTAAGTAACATATTGTTTGTATATCATTAACATCTATTGATTTCATAGACCTACATCCCTATAGGTCTATAAAATCGATCCTTTTATGGCTATTCTATGGCTTATTCAATGATCAATAAGATCCTTCTTATGGCTGTGTTTTGACATTGAGAGGTGATGCCAGCTTGCTTCTATAGTTGCCAGTAAGCAAAACATTCCCAACTTCTTTCGAAATTCTCCCAAGTTGAAAACAAAACCAACCTATTTGCAATTTTATCCTAAATAGAATATAGAAGTTATTAAAATTTTCCCGCGACTCTTAGCCGCGCAGTTGCCGCTCTCTCATTGATCGAAATATGACGTCAAGATGACATAGTTAGTCTATGAAATTGTCTATATTTTCATGAGAGATCTAATTAAAATCATAGATTGAGCTAAGTGAAGCGATAAGAACTTCAAAGATATATGAATCGAATTTTTCGTTAGATTTCTAGTAACATTCAGCCCAGACTTCAGTCTTATTATCAGCTGTCGGATTGATTCGGTTGGGCAGTCAAGCCGAAACCCTTGAGGTTTTTTAGCCTTTATTATGTAAAAATATTTTTGAGTTGCTATTGTATTTAAAAGATGTATAAAACATATATAAAACTAAATCGGTGTAGTGTGCGTACTTTCATACATGTTCACTCTGAAAGACCACCGAAACAACTTCTTTGACTAAACTATCGCACAACTATTGTGCGGTTGTCGATTGTCAATTATTTCGCAGCCCATTCAACTGTTTATTTGCACAACTAAAAGTCAAGTAGTGTGCACCTCCATATAAGCTCATAAGAATCAAAGCGCGACTAAACAGTTGTGCCATAGTTTAGCCAAAGGTGTGCATTTTTATCCGATAAAAAGTCTGTACTCTGCAAGGTCTCTAACGACCGAATATTGAAACGTTTAGATGTGTAACAGTATCTTTAACAATAAATTCTAAATGCTTTACTTTCGGCGTTTATCAGATTTTAAGCGACGCTTACGAAACGAAGTATTTAAAATTCGTTTCAGTAATTAGCCATTAGTATTGGCTTCTAGTAAAATTAAAAAAAAATCTTTGTTCTATTATACAGTTAACAGTGGTCACTACCACTGTTAACTGTATACTGTTACTGTTACTGTTAACCCGCTTTAACATCTTAGCACGAATGGGCCGGCACGCCCGGTGTAATACCGCGTCCACATAGAAGACAGGCGTGAAATGGAAGCAATTCCGTGTTTCGTCTGATGAGTGTGGTACCCGAGGCCTAATTTAAGTCCCTTTCCCTTTACCACCCCTTTCTTATAAGGAGATGATGGGAAGAGGAAGTGGATTTGACGGTGGAGGAGATGCATAGGAAGGGGAAGTATCCTCTTTATGTGCGTCTCCTCCTCCGTCGGATAGGGGTAGGCAACGCTTCTGCAATTGCGGATGCCTATGGGCAGCGGTCGCTTCGCTATTTTGGCGGATTCAGGTGACCGCTTGCTGGTTTGCCGCCTTATGTTATATAAAAAAAAATAAAAAAATTTTAACGATGTTATAAATTTCTTTCTATTTCAGATTGAAATCGCCTCGTGAGTTTGTTATGAATGATGTTATAAAATTAGCTTTCATGATGTTAGAATATCGTAGATATAACGATGTACATTTTGGCGATCAATACATCCACGACCTGAGTAACATTAGATTCAGCAACACTGTTCAAATGACGCCGCCAGTTATTACAAAAATGATGTATTATTTAAGAGTAAGTATTAATGTAACAAAGCCTCATAGACTACAAAAATTCAATTAAGGTATACGTTTTAATATGATGCGTATTTTTGAGGTAAAATATATTTTATTATTGATATGTTACATTTAAGAAAGATCTTTAATCTAGATATCAAGCTGGTATCTGACTCGAAGGACCAAAACTGTAACCAAACTTATTAGGTATTGCCTAATGCAAATTAAAAGTAATTAAGTAGTCATTTATTTTTCATTTCATTTTCAGTTTTGTACTGGAGCTAAAATCAAAGGGATACATTTTATAAATATGCCAACATTCGTTGTACCGATAGTTGCATTAGTAAAAAAATTATTGAAACCTAAAATTGCTGCAAGAATTTACATACATTCGAAGCCCGAAGACATTGCTAAAATGTATCCCAAAAATATCCTACCTAAAGAATACGGAGGTGATGATTATAGTATCGACGAAATCGCAGGTAATTTTAAAAACAATAGAAATCTGTTATATTCATTAAGTCGGCTACACACGTGTAGTTTTCGACACGAATAATTAACAGTCGAACAGCCCAACTGTTCAGTTTCAATTGTACGTTTGTAGGCGAAAGAACTGTACAGTTTAACTGATAGTAACTGTCTCATAAAGACATATCTATTTAGAATGATAAATCTTACTGATCTGGTAAAACTGAAGGTGTGTAGCCGGCTTTAATTGATGATATTCAATTTACTACCATCTTAAAAAAAACTGTTCTCTTGTTTCAGAAAATTGGACGACAACGTTACAATCGGACGCATGGCGACAATATTATCGTGATCAAGAAAAAGTCGTCAGCGACGAATCAAAACGAACACGTGTTCTAAGCTGTGACGAATTCTTTGGATGTGAAGGTTCATTTAGGAAACTGGAATTCGATTAAGATTATCTTTAAATATTCATCAACTTGACGCAAATAATCTATACCTATGCAAGTTTTTGTTAATAAAAATGTGATTCGATTTTTGTTAATGTACTAATACTCTCTTTTTGGGGACATAGGATAACAAGAATACTAATACTTCCTTTAACTAACCAACTGAGTTCTAGGCTTGTGCTAGGATATGGGTTACGACAATATTCGAATGGTGGGATTCGTACCCTCGGTCGCATTTTTTTTATTTATTATTCCGGGATTTATAAACCCATAGTCATATTGTCAGGAAGGTTAGGGAGGAGCAACTTCCCCTCGAAGAAATCGTTGGTAATTTTAACACCATATTAACAGTAGCCTCCCTACACCTATTCTAAACAATCAGGTGGCAACGCCTGTACATAATATCTGCATTCATACAAATTCTAATAAAAAACAATTCATTTTAATGCTATTTATTTTATAAAGGTAAATACTATCGAACTTTAAACAAAGCAAGCCTAGAATAATGAGAGTACAAGAATAAATTTGTATATATTTTTACGCCAACATTGACAAAGAGTCACTCAGCCATGACTGAACGAAAGCATCCAAGCGATGCCCCAGTTCCCATGATGCAGGGAAAATATAAGAAACTTGGTTCCAAAGAGTGATATTATAGTAAAAATAATTCATTAAATTAAATAGATTGCTATATATTACTTTGAATAAGACAATATTAATGTAGCTCTCCTTACTCCTTCCTCCTATAAATGTAGCTTAAATCAACGGTTGGTGATAGGTTGGTGGTTAACACTTTATCAAATTGTAAACATGAATTGCGAAATCTCCAAGATTTTATACATTTTATTCCATACTAATAGATAACGTTACAATAACATAGATATCATTATAGCACTGACCTCTACTAAATTGACAGAGAGACGTGGTATTTGTGCCGTTCTGATCTTCATTATGGCGATAACCGTTGTGTTTAGCAACGGTGATGAGGATAGTAATTAAAATAAAATATAGATTAAACTACCAGCAACAGAACGACTCAAAAGCTATCATTTCCAAGCAACCTATCCTTTAAGTATAGATCAGTGCGTTAATGTCAGCCAATTGTGGTAATTTTTACGATCTTCATTTATTTTCACTGTTTGATTCAGAAGAAATGTAATAAATCACAGAGTACACTTTAAGTTAAATAAATAGTTATGTATTAAAACTACATATGATAACTTTTATTCTTAATCTGTAAATCTTAAAGACTTGATATAATTTAATACATTCTAAGAAATTTACTCTAACACCCATACATTTAAATAATTCAATCAAAATCCAATTTTTTAAATGAACCCACAATACAATCTTCGTCATATTTATCTCGAGGTCTCTTGCTTTCGTCGGAAACTAGTTTACAGTAATCTAAAAGTACTTCTTTAATCTTCTCTTTTTTCACTTCTTTGTTCAAACTCTCTGAAACAAAAGAAATTGGGAAATTTAAGTTAGAACAATAATAAAATTAGCCTAACACTGTCGTGTTATTGTGCTTTTACGTCCTGTTTTCCACTAAGAGAACTCTTCAATCAACATCCACTCAATTTAAAAAACTTCAAGAATGTTAAATTACCCGATTTAATTTCTCCTTGTATTAAAAATCTAGTCTCGAAAGACAGCTAAAATTCGAGTTCTCAACTCAACAATTCCAAGTGCATATACTTTATCATAGAAATATATCGGTATTGCTAAGAGCCGTATGTTAAGAAGACCAATAGTAGTTTCATCAACGTTACTTATGAGATCGTCGGTGGTACGGACGTTTAAAAACTTTAAGCAAAACACGACGTTCTTACGGTGATGGAAAACATCGTGATGCAAACTGTACATATTGTCGAAGAAATTCAAAGATATGTGTGAAGTGAACAAACGTGCAGTGGGCCAGCGTGGTTGACTAACGCCTAGTCATTCTAACTTTAGGGTAGGCTTGAATGGGCCGGCACGCCCGGTGTAATACCACGACCACACAGAAGACAGGCGTGCAATGGAAGCAATTCCGTGTTTCGTCTGATGAGTGTGGTGCCGGAGGCCTAATCTAAGTCCCTTTCTTTTTACCACCCTTTTCATATAAGGAGAGGATGGGAAGGGGAAGTGGATTGGACGGTGGAGGAGATGCATAGGAAGCGGCAATGTCCTCGTTATGTGCATTTCCTCCTTCGTCGGGTAGGCAACGCATCTGCAATCGCGGATGTCTATGGGCAGTGGTCGCTTCCCCATTTTGGCGGATTCAGGTGGCCGCTTGCTCGTTTGCCACCTTATGTTATATATAAAAAAAGGCTAAGAGACCCTCAGTGGAACCTATGCTGATGAAGATGAAACTTACCAGCAAATTCAACAAGTGTAGGCAAATCTCCACCATAGTCTTTTGGAAGGTACTCCTTTGGCACATACTTGTGCAAGCTCTCCATTGTATCGTGAATTATAACACGGTCAATCATCTTTGCTTTGACGAATTTCTTCATGAAGTTTACAACGTGGTGACTGAATACCGGTGCGTTCACACAATGTATGTGTTTCACTCTTATTCCAACACTTTCCTGGAATTTAATGTTTCATCTATACTATTATAATAAAACGTAAACACACACTTCTTTGTTGCCTAAGATGTCAGCAATCACAACATATTTTTGAATAGTTCTTTTTTTAATAGCCCTACACTTACGTCACGCTTTAGACTATATATTTTCACGTCATTAAACTTTGCTAGATAAATATTTTAGATAAAAATCCTAATGTGGGAAGTGTGTAAGTTGCTGCCAACATCAAGGAAGCAATAGGGAATATGCATGGACTTTTATTTGTTTTTCTTTTAAACGATTCTACTTGTTTAAAGATAAAATTAAACAAATTTGACAAAACATCAATGTAGATTTTTAAAACTTACAAATTCAATTTTTGCATAGTTCATTTGCGTTTCATTTCTAAGATAGGAATAATATTTTTACAGATTTTATACCTCGAGATATTATGGTAATATTTTTCAAGTAACTTACGTTTGGGCACGAATTTTTAATGGAATTATCAGAATAATAAGTAACTAATTTGATAACACTAAAAAACTTCTATAAACTGTACATTCAAGGTCATGATGGTATTCGTTCCACTCAATGTGTTTGGGAATAAAATACAATCACATTTTTAAAGGCTTCACAATAGAAATTTTTGGTAATATTTTTCAAAATACTTAAAACTGTAATAACTTTAACATACCTGATACAAATTGACCGCCTTCTGAAGTATAACAGGATTCACACGCAACAAATGTCCAAGACCAGTGTTGTTCAAATCCACTACCCAAATATCACTAAACATGTAGTCATACTTTAAACGTAAGTCAACCGTCTGTAAAAACGTAAACCAATGTAATATGTAAAAGTTTATGAGGTTAAATGAAACTTTATACTTTTACTAGCTTTCGCCTGCGACTCCATCCGCGTGGAATAAAAGAAAAAAAGTGTGTAGTCTATGTATTCCTTCAGACTATCCTCAAACCAAATTACCAAATTTTATCAAAACCCGTTCAGCCATTTAGGCTACAAATTCTTACAAACATCCATTCAACCATCCATCTATCCATTCGTCCATCTAAACTTTCGCATTTATAGTATTAGTAAGAAGTGAGAAGTAAGTTAAGATTAGGATAACAATTAGTATTAGTTATTATTCGTAGTTGACATTGATTTGACTTTTGAATAGCAACGAATGTCACATCTAGTCTATATATCTATACATATAATAAAATTGGAGTGGCTGTTTGTAACATAAGAAGAAAAATTCCAGATTTCGAGAAGATGATGTATTTGCGTTGCTGATAACGAATGTCACATTTAAATTTTGTTTTGTCTCACTGTCCGTTTGCAAACCGCGGTTGTTCCGGTTAATCTCTGAAACGACTGAACCGATTATAGACTACTTTTTATCCTGGAAATAGCTACAGTTCCCGCGGGATACAGTGACTTCTTTTTTGTCATTCCACGCGGACGAAGTCGCGAGCAAAAGGTAGTTAAAAATAAAAATATATCAAGTACTATTTTAACTGAAGATGTGGTCCTGCATAATACTTACAAGTATAATATTTCTATACATAACTTCAGTATCAAAAGCGGACGCGTCACCGCTAAACCCAACTATTGTTATTCTTTTCCCATCATATAATTTTGGAATAATCGCTTGACGGCTGTAAAAAAATATGAATCAGTGTTGGTATTTTAGTACCCAGTTCTAAACCACTGGATTAATATTGACGAAGCTTTGGCAGCCGTTTTATGGACGGCAGAAAACAATAAGTCATAAATTAAATCGAAATGTCTTACGTTTTTTCTTTTTAATGTTTTTTGTTTTTCTAATTGTTAATTTTTCTGATAATAGACTTTTGAACGTCATCGCAAAAAGAAAATGTTTAGCATAGATTTTTGTGGTATTTAACTCGTTTGGTAGCATTTGTAGAGTCTAATTTTTTCGTGTTTCTAATGCATTTGGATATCGCAAGCATTAGTATGATAATTTTAAATGACTTACAAAAATGTCCACAGTTTGTCCGGCTGTGTGAGTGCGTCAATCCTAGTTTGTATCAGTTCCGGTGCGAGAGCTCTATACTTGTAAAAATTATCAATTCGTTTTTTTGTTTTCTCACGAGAACCTTTTGCAACGACTAGAAATTTCTCAATTAAATGTCGTTCTGAAAATAGTACATACAAGTAGATAAAAGTTTAAAGTATTTTTTTACTTTTTTAGATGAGACTTTTTTGGGTGTTTTATTTGTTATATTTTTAATACTAATAGGTTATTTAAAAACATTATAATACCTATCGGCGCGTCAGCTAGATGTGGTTCCTTCCGAAACCACTCCAATATTGCATCGATATCTTCTTCCAGAACACTATCTTTTAATCCTATTTCTTTTTTTACTGCCTGCTTGTCTTCTTCTGTGTAAACCATCAAGCCGTGCTGTCCGTCTAAATACATCTGAAAAAAGTAATTTTTTTTTTAGCTTCCTATTCTGATGTTTGTAATTTTGCAAATTAAATTTTATGTCTTTCTCGGCTACTGATTGATCTGTGATTTTGCAGACATGTGGAAACCGTGTGACAATAGTATAGTATGATAAGATAATGAGCTGATGATGGACCTGATAGGAGGCCATAGGATCTCCGCAATGAAACGAACCTCGAGTTCGGGCTCGTTTGAATCGCCTCTTATGTGAAGTAAAACACTTAAAAAACAATAAATAGGTAAAATGTATTTTTTCACTATTTTAATAGTATTTTTAACAAGCTTTTATATTAGCGAGTTATATTATAATGGACTATTAAAAACGTTTCCCAGAATTTCACATTTCACACTTTTATAAACGCTTGTTATTTTTTAATACATTCAGGTTTATAACATAGTTTGATAAAGATTCAATTTGGAGAAATTGAAGAATAAAGGAGTTTATCTGAATATATTTCCTATAGAAGATGTTAGTTTCCTTTTTTTTAAATTATTTTTTTGTTATCCTATCTTTCATTCTCTTTGACAAAATAACAAAAAGGGTGTCGAAGGCACCAGGCGTTATTACTTACAGGACACGCAGACATTTCTGTATATTGATACATCGGCGAAAACTTAATGTACTTAAATGACGAATATTACCACTTAGAATACAAATACTTGTACACGTTGCTACGGCCTTTGTATGTTTATAATATGAATAGATGGTAAAAAGGCTTAAGAATTTTCCTTATCTTGTATGAAGTAAAAATAATTTTAATTGCATTATAATATAAACTGATAATTACGATTATTCAATGCCGAATGAAAAAAAAGTCGCTCTGTAAGCCGTGATTTTAATTATTGTCTTTTATTATTAACCCGTTATGCACGACAAAAATAAAAATTATTCTTAATTACAATGAATTGCACGAAGTAGTGTAAAATAACATTATTGGAATACGACTTATTAACCGTTTTTTTGGAATTAAATTTCTCATTTTGAGTTATTCAGAAGTGGATTTAGGCAAACTAAGAAATCTATTGGACTCAGTAGCTAAATAATCCTAGAAACATCTAGAATAAAAGTAGTGTAAAGCCTATTAAGGTTTGTTTGATTTTTAAGCGGTTTCTTTTTTCACATTACATTTCTACCCTCCCCTTCCTAAATTCGACTTAGTCTATAAAATAAAATACTTCCTATATCACTATGATCGTAAATTTATTAAGTATAGAAAAACTTAAAAAACAAAAACAAAATCTAACCTAACCTAACGTATATTTAGAACTTCCCTGTGTATTCTCTATTAATTTCCCTCACTTAGGTTCCAGTTTTGTGATGAATTCCATTAAAATTAGTTCATTTTCTTACAAGTTATTAATTCAACGCTTATTAAGTGCATCAAGTCCATAGTTAATTAAAAAATTCGTAATGATGAAAGAATTAAATTACATTTTCAGATGTATTTTAGTATTTCAAAATATAACAATTGATTTTACTCACCTTATGTGTAGAAATCCAAAATAATTATAATAACAAAATTAAGGATTGTAATATTAAATTGTCCACACGTTAGTTGTTACTGACTTCTTCTTTAGTATTGACATAACTCTCTCAAGATCAACTATATTATGTGGTAACCGAAAACTTGTTTTTTTTTAACCTTCAGTATTTTTGCAAGTAAAATATTAATAACAACCGCGACGCATCCATTGTCTTTAATCTATGTATTTACATGAAAAAATGATTTGTATATGTACTTTAGATGTCCATCTGCATTTAAAAAATTTGATAAAACTTCGGTAGGATGTTTCAAAGGACCAAAATGTTTTCAATTCAAATGGGATTAATTATTGTTTTGTTAAACTAGCTTTCGCCCGCGACTTCATCCGAATAGACTTTAAAAAAACAAAAATAAGTAGTCTACGTGTTCGTCCATACTATCTTCTACATCTATGCCAAATTTTATCGAGATCCGTTCAGGAGTTTACGCTACAAACTCTAACAAACATCTACCCATCGATCCATCTAAACTTTCGCATTTATAATATTAGTAAGATTTCAAATAAATATTCAAAAACACAACTCATTCCTCTTTATAACATTATACATAATACTGAATGTATATTCATAATACCTTTTTTTTTTTTCCGAAGGGGAATGCTTTCTGCATACTCCATGCCTCTGGGCAGACACGAGAGTTATGTGGGACTCTCCCCCCAAGTGGGG